AAGGGATAATCCACTCTCTCCAAGAAGAATAAGACTCCAATATTGTAACAAAAGAAGTATCAGTTTAGAGGAGGGTAATCCGCAACCTCTAAAATGCTAGTACACTTCCAAGCAGAGGGGTAATCCACACTCTAACAAAGAAGAAACTAGCTCTGATATCTGAGGTGAGTGCAGTCTCGACAAACTGTCACAGACACAAAAATACAGACTCGAGATCTAACAAGAAGTTCAAGAAGAACTGGGAAGAACTAGATTAATCAGATGAGAACAACACCAGAGGAGTGAGCTAGAGCTCCAAGAGATGTGTTGTCGAGATTGAAGAACTCTTCATCCTCGATTCCAATATATACTTCTATTTAGGAAGCTTCTCAAGCAACTTCTACCAACTAGGAAGCTTCTAAAAGGTTCTAGAGACTTGTTTCTAGAAGGTTCTAGAAACTTATCTCTAGAAGGTTTTAAGGACTATGTCCCTAATATCTTCTGCCAACTAAGAAGCTTCTAGCAGGTTCCAGAGACTTGCTTTTAGAAGGTTCTAGAAACTTGTCTCTAGAAGGTTCTAAGGATTATGTTTCTAACAATCATTGGTTTGGTTGGACAAGTGTCTATGTGGAATGTTAAAGCTTTTATTTTATTTACTCAACAAATGATGAAAAATGATAATAATAGGTATTGACAATAATACACAATATTTTGTGCAATGATCCATTTCATTAAAGAATTAGTATTTATGGTATTACTTGAGTGCTTGTTAGAATATTTTGATGATTAAAATCTTGCAATTTAATTGTAATTATACTTGATTTAATGCAAAATGAGACACCCTCAAAATCACCTTATACCAAAGTGCATTTATTTTCTACATGTTAAAGAAGTTTTCTACATGTTTAAACTTCTTAGATATTGGCACAATTTTGTTGAGAGTTTACAAGTTCTAGTTTGCTATATACTATAAGAAGATCTCTCATCAAGACCTTCATCCACGTTTTTACTTTTGTATGCCATCTCTCAATATTTTAATATTGAATCAAATGGCTTTATATTTATCATTTGATACTTGTCCAACGTGCCTATGACCAGAAGTGAATAATAAGATACAAAAGACAATAAGCTCAATACCATCTTTTGGAATCTTAATGATTTGTCTTGAACTTATAATTAAAAATATTGATGAAGTTTGATGAATATTCTTTGGCAATCTTTTCAATGATTTTTGGTATGAAAAAGGGTTGTATAAGCTTGCTATTTTACTAATTCTTACATCATGTTCTATCTCTTTTTTAACAAAAATATCCAATAGAACTTCAATTGGCAGCCTATTTGCAAGAGTTTTTTTTTGTTCTATTTATTACTTTGGTTATAGATGTCTTAATATACTCTAAGGCAATTAATGAAGTGGAAGGGTTTTACAACAATTTTAGAGGCTATACCAACTTTCAACCATATAGTTATTTTTTTATATTTGCATTCTCCTTGCTACAAGATAGGCCATGATATTTTCTACCTAATTGTGGAAATAACAAGCATTCACAATTTTGAGATCTCAACAATTGCATTTTTTAAATTTTTCTAAAGTATCACTTGAAAGAGATAGCACAATTATAATTTTATAATTGTTGTTCTTTTATTACAAGCCTCTAACTCCACATGTGAATGAAATCAGCAATTATTTATTTATTTTTATTTATTTTTATTTTATTTATCTGCACAATTGTCTTTCTTCACACATTGTCTCTTTTAGATAATATACCCTTCAATTATTACAAAGTCTTCTACTACCTTTTGAGCTTCTCTAAAAGTCCTATAAGAAGCAAGAGGTGGAGCTTCTATAAGCATTGTATTGCAAGAATATTAAATTTCTATGCAATACTTTAGAAATTGCATGCATGCCTTTAAAAAATTAATAGAAATAACTGCAAGTTTGAAGTGACTAACTTTCACCAACATTGGTAGTTATACAAACTCATTTCTACTATCTCTAATTGCATCAAACAAAAACAATTGGAAACAATAAACATAGACCTACAAGAGTTTTTCATCAAATTTGAGAAAAATCATAACAACTTGTTCTTTTACCAATAAGTAAATTTGAAATAAGTAATTATTTTACTATTTTTTAAAGATACAAACAAAATCTTTAATTTGGCACCAATTTGTATTTTTGGACAACTCTTTAGAAGTTCAACACATAGAGATCCTTTTAGATTTTAATTAGAAGATATAGACAATTATTGGAAGTGCAAAAAATGTAGAGATTGTAACTACGTTATTATCAAATATTATTTGTTAAAAAGTACATTAATAAAAATATATACATGTAGAGATTGTAACTAGGTAAAAAGATAAAAAAAAAAAAAAAAAAAAAAAAAAAAGGTCTTAGATGCTTTCATATATAAATATTTTTAATAATAGAAGAGTGATGTCTTGCTAATATATTTTTTAAAAAAATAAATAAATTAAATAAGTAAATATCTAAATATAAAATAATAATATAATATATATAAGTGAATAGATTTATTCTAAAATAAATTTAAAAAATAATTTATAATATAAAAATAATTTCACAAATAAATAAATAATTTTATTTAGTTATAATTATAATTTTATGATTTTATATTCTAAAGAAAAATTGATCTTAATTTTAAGATAATAGTTGTGAAGTCCTATCTACTTCAAAAAACAACTATACAAGGTCGGATATAAGATTATCAGTCTTGGAAAGTAATATAGGATTAGAAATTATATATCTTGTATATTTTATAGGATACACTTAAAATAAAAATAAGGATTTGCATTAGTTTAAAGAATTATCTATTGTATTTATTTCAAATCAAAAAATAGAAAATAGAAACAAGAATTTGTTAATTACTTTTAAAAAATTACATTAATAAAAATACATACAAAAATATATAATTTTTATAATATATTTTTTAATTTATTTTTTAATATCAAAGTAAAAAATGATAATTGTATAATATTAAAAAATATTTATTTTTCTGATAATATCTAAATTTAAATAAAGAAATTTACTTTTTAAATTTTTTATTTATTTTATTTTATTTTTTGTATTATATTCTTAGAAGCTCTATTTATTATGAATTTATGATTATAATTAAAATTTTATAATTAAACAAAATAATTAAAAATAAATATAAAAAAAATATAAAACTTGATAAAGGGATTATAAGATTCACACAAGTTTTTTTATTTTTTATGACTAAACTTTTTAATGTAGGATTTATAAGATTTTTTAATGATGGTAAAATCCTTTATTTTTATTTATTTATTTTCTTTCTTTATTGTGTTTCAAAATATATATATATATATATATATATATATATATACTATAATACTTTTAAACCTTGGTACTTAATTATTACTTCTACAACTTGATTTTTACATTTATTTTTGTATTTTCAATTCAAGTTTGTTTTGCTTTGGAATAAGAAGATGTTCCATTGAGTGCAGACAAGTCTCTTTGGTGATAGCTTGAAGGTGTGTGAGATTGGGCAAATTGGTCTTGGATAATTGCTTGTCTTTTCAAATGTGAGTGTCTAATTTTGCTTTGAGCTTGGCCTTGATGGTTGAATTTTGGAGCATCTCAAACATGGCCCATTTAATAGTGACCATTGATGTGTATATGTCACCAACTAACAAATTTTGTGCACATGGTAGAGATGGTGAAGTTAGAATTTGGTATGCATGGTTTTGAGTTTTGAGAGATTTGGGTAGAAATTAGCTATTAAAGGGAGAAAACTGACATACTAGGATAGTGCTCTAAATGTTGTTTGTATCCAATTGCTTGTTTCATTAGAGTCTTGCTAGTACATTTTGTTCAAGAAGATATCAATAAAAGCTTGGTGTTTATCTAAGATTGGGCCCTCTATTTCCTTGACTTTGTGGATGTTGAAAACTCTTAATTATTATTATTATTATTATTATTTTTCTTAGTTGACACTTTTTTTAGGAGTGGTCAATTTTTGACTTAACAACCACAAATTTTAAATTGTACAACTTTTCCATGCCTAATGGCACAAGTTTTTGTTAGAATATAATCTTGGTATCTAATTATGACTTCTATAATTTACTTTTTACATTTATTTTTGTATTTTTTCTAGACTAATTCATGCATAACTTTGCATAATATTTTATATTATATGTTTTATATATCTTTAAAATTCTACCTAATTTATTCAGTAAATTTTGTATTGAAGTGGTTATATTACATACATCCACCTCTACACAATAATTCAGATTTTTATTTTTGTAATTTATTATTAGGAAAAAAAATAATGAATAAAAGTAGAAAAATAAAACATTTGATTCACACACCCACATTTTCCATGTTCAGCAATAAAGCAATGGTTTACCACTTGGTTTCTCCGATACTAATTATTGATTTTATCAAAATGTTGTTGTGATCTAACATCACTTCTTGGGTCTACACTGGGCTATGCTTGAAGTTTTAATTTGTAATTATCATCTGTTACCTCCTCCACTGTAAAAGAGAAACTCCCACGAAGTTAGACAGAAGCAGAACTGTATGAGTATGCTATGCACAATGGTTACATTCCAAACACACTGCTAAACAAAAATTATGAAAGTCTACAATGGTTAAGGACCAAAAAATACAGTGTTCCCAGACAATGCAGAAGATGAAAAAGTTCATAGGAAATCACTTAGCCCTTATTTCTTACCTATCACAGTCAAGCTCTGGCCAAGAACTCGGTATCAGGAGTTGCGTGTTTCTCCCTTCGGGTAAGAGTGACCGAGTTGCAACCATTCCATTTGTGACATGGATACAATACATCACAATACATCTAACACAACTATCTTACAACTGAAGCTTTAGTCCGGAACCCTAATGTTGCAATGTAAAACATTAGCACGAATCACGCAGAAAATTTGACTACTTTGTTGATGTCACTTGACAGTTAACTAGAACCCACGATAACAAAACTCAGGACCAATGCCAGCATTCAGTCGCATCCCATAAAGCCCCGTTTCACTTTTTATCGTATAGTCATAAATCACCAGTGCACAAATTATGTACTTACATAATCGATAAATATAGGCTACAACACTTCCAATTGCTACTTGGGATAGAAAATTCGAATCCAAGAAGAAAAACTAAGCTTCAGTCCATCTTTGAAGCCAATTTCAGCGGAAAGATCGCCGTCCATATACCTGGCGCCACGACTGAAACAGATGTTGTCTTTACTGTATTGTAATACCTACAGTTTTCTACGTAATCCTTCCAAGTTGATACTACTGGGGCAGGAAGCACAGTTTACTCCATCTTTTACACTTAGGACATGAAAGCCAACTTCACCTCCAGCATTCCTACATTTAAAAATCTGGAACACGCGGCAATCTGCATGAATTAAGCACGAGCTCAGACCATTGCTATTAAGTAATTCTGATTCTGCAACCAACAGTTCTCCTCAAGCCGGCGAAGAGAAACATCTCCACACTACTACCAACTGAGTCCAATTTGAATCTCCTCCACTGCAATGAGCAATCAATGTCTTATAGATGTGTTATGCGCAGTCAATCCAACTTGACATATATACCCAAATTAATTTAGGATACGCTTAGAAACTTGAGATCTAACCTTAGAGTTGTGAGCATAAATTGTGCACACCATCCTCTCATCTACTCAATGACTACCATACCCCATATGTGTTACCCAACAACTCCACGGAGCGTCTGCTTTGACGTAAAACACCAATATCACTTGAATGTGACTACGAAGCAGATAGTCTTCAACAAATCGCCAACCCCAGTCTCCACCAAACCAACTCAGTAACTGCTGTCATAAACTGAATTATGGCTAATGATGATTATCTCTTCATTCATAAGAGTCAACAGGAACGGATTGCAACAGAGAGTTCCAATCTAGTAAACATCCGGATGAAAGCGCCCAGGCATCGAGCTAGCATCCTGAGCCATGCGCAGGTGCATCCTCAAGGTGTAATTATTCAATTCCAAGGATCGTACTTGCTCCTGGTACTGCCCAAGTACTTGCTTCGCCTGTTGCAACTCCCGAGTCCGCCCCTCATGCTCTTGCTGTCGTTCGTGTTGAATAGCGACAGCCCGTTTCAAGATATGTCCTTCACGAATCATGACCTGCATCTTCTCTTTCAGCTCGGCATTTTCTTTTTGTAATACTTCCATTGCGGCCGCAGAACGAGTTGAGACAGCCTTCTCGACTGCTTCTAGGGCATACTTCCCTCTCACATGTGCATCATTGATGTCTCTCGCAGCAAGCATCTCCTTCACCAAATGTTCCAACCATGCGTCCATCTCGGATTGGACGGGAGAGGACGCATGACCTGAAGAATCCATGTCACCATGATTCGATGATGACGTTGCGCCATCAGCTTCACTTGCAAGTGACACTCTTTCTCCATGACTAGGGGACCTGACTGGTGATCCACTGGTTGCATGACGGAAGCGCTTGCTCCGAGGAGGAGAGTTCTGCTGCTCCTCAAAATGGGACCGCTTCCGTATCACCGCCGCAGACATTGTGACGCGATTCGTATTCCCTTGTCTCTTTCCTTAGCCTCCTCTGGAAGGTTTGAGGTTCCGTACCAACTCCCTTCGTCGTCACGGCACCTTTTCAGCTAACATAGAAGTCAATAAACCCAACCAACTAATAGATCTTCCCTTTGGATCTCAAAATCTGGAACCCATACAAAACCCTACGGAAAAAGCGGAAAGTTCCGGTGAACAAGCCACCAACGTCGCAAGAACGTTCCGAAATGTCGGCGAAAGGGAAAACCCGCCTAATTCAGAAACACCAATGCTCCATGTGAATTGCGACGCCCTCGGCAGCCAAATAACCCCTCCACAGCCTGCAACACCACAAATCACAACAACATTTCAAACACAACAACCAAATAGAACAAACGAACGAACAAAAACAAATAAACAAAACAAATTCTCGCACATACAATCACACTACCCTCACTGCACACGCGAACAAAACTCAATCAAATTGAACGCAAAAAAACACTCCCACCCCAAATCCCACCATACAAAAATTTCACCTCTGATATCAATAAAAACTCGTCACGGTGCCGTGAGACACACAACCACACCACAACAACGAATACGAAACATCCACCCGCGTGACGCGAACATCGGCACATAAACCACAAGAGCCGCGCAACCCTAACCCTCCCTTCTCACCCACCCCATCCCTTGGTCTCTACTCCAAACCAATGACCCACAACCGGAAAAGGCTTACCTCTGGCCGCAATTGGCTGTGATGCCCTCCACCACCCCAGCACCTCTCAAGGCCGACGCAACAACACCACCAACAAAAGTACAAAAAAATACAAAACGAGAAGGAAGGGATAGAAGGGAGGAAACCTACAGGTAGACAGACGTGCAATTCCAGTCTCCTCCGACGCAGTGGAGGAGCAATTTATAAATAAGACTCTCTCAGTCATGAATAATAATACTGCTATTACTTCTACTACTACTCCTACTACTATTTTGCTGGCAGCCCAGCCTTCCTTTGCCTCTGGGATGGAAACGACAACTGGGTGTGGGGGCCAACGCCTCCCCCCTTGACCGTGGATCCATGTGCCGAGAGTGTGGATTTAAACCCCGGGGGATCTACGTTTGTTTCTGGATTTTGCAGGGTTGGCGCAAGGACGTGCCTGACGGGTCAGCTGAGGCAAGGGGCCCTGCGAAACTTCGGGTGGAGGAGGAGGAAGGGGGGGTCTAATTCCGTGGGATTGGGGGTTCAAATCCGAAAGAGGGACGTTGGGTTGGATATTTATGGGGGGTGTTGAGTGCGGTGTAATATTACGTTGGGCGCGGCTACAGATGTCGCTTCTCCACCTCCGTGGAGCTTGATTACGGCCCTCCTGGGGTAAGTGATGTTTGTTGTGAGCTATGAGAATGTGCATTATCACCATTTTACATGTACTGAGAAAAATAGTATTGAGTGTTGTTATTGATATTGGAGTAATTTTGCCTTATTAGCATAATTGTATCAAGAATGGGCAGAAGATGACCACAAGTAATGACACGGTTGCAATGGGTGCTGAATGGTAAAGTTCCCATACCATCAATTGCAATTTAATTACATGATAAAGAGCCTGTTAACAGAAAAATATTTATTATATCGTATTTTTAAAATTTTGGATATAAATAAATATATATATATATATATATATATATACAAAAACTTGAACAAATCCTTATAAAGAATTAAAAGGCAACAAATATATATATATATATATACATAAAACCTTTAAATAATATAAAAATGTATATATTGTCTTTCAAAAACTGTGATTTTTCTTATGACATATAAATACATTATTTTTTGTTTTTTGTTTAAAAATTTGTATTTAACCACTATTAAATATATATATATATATATATATATATCTGTCTACACTAGCAGATAAATCTATTGGCTTTGCCAACGAATGATGAGTATGTTTTTGGTAGCTAATAAAAAAACACACACACAATATACCTCTGCATCCAATTAGTGCCCCTTAGTGTGATTTAAAAAAAAGAAAAAGAAAAAGGCTCCACATCAACTAGGTGCAAGATGGGATCATTTATGCAAACATCTATCAAAGTAATGTACAATTGTACATATTTCACAAGATCTTTAGACCAAAATCCTATATATGCAAAGAATTGTTAGTATATTTGAAAAATATACTAAGCAAAAACTATTATATATCAAATATAACTTCTAATTTTTGAAAAATATCTCTATCTAATTCTTGGTTTGAATTGTTATACACTACTTTTTATATCTTATATTTGATTTGTGCTATTGGAATTGGAACAGAATATTGTTGAACAATGTCTTTTTTTGTAATGCCTAAAACTTAAAACTTAAAGAATACAACATTATCTGCATCTCTGCTTGTTTTTATTGCTTGATATATATATATATATATATATATATATTTATATTTATATATATATATATAAATATATATATATATATATATATATATATAAATATATATATATATATAAACTACAAATAGATAAATAAAAAATCTATAATTTAATTTAATGCAATGAATTGTGTATAATATATGTAGATATATATTCATGTATACATATTAAAGATATAAAAGATGTTTTAGAACTTTGAAGCATAATTATTTTTTAAATGAAGTTGTGGATATACTCATATATATATATATATATATATATATATATATATACAAATAAGAAAAAATTATGATTAGTAGTTTATATATTTTAAAACTTAAATTTTTATATAAAATTTGAATATATAGATATATAAAATTTTTATATATAGATATATAAAATTTGAATATATAGATATATAAAATTTTTATATATAGATATATAAAATTTGAATATATAGATATATAAAATTTATATATCTATATATAAAACTTGAATATATAGATATATAAATACTATTTTATAAGTTTATGTAGTAATTTAAATATATATATATACATATATAATATTTTTGATATTTTCATAAAATATCTTATAATGTATACTACAAATAAGATTATATTGTAGTATTTTAATAAAGATAAAATAACATATTTTGAGAATAAATTATTTTAATAGAAATAAAATTTCAAATTTAGTTTCTTATTAAAATGTCATTAAGAAAATTATAATAATTTTATTAAGACATTTAAAAAATTATTTCTAAATAACATAAAAATCAATGTAAATTTAATTTAGATTGCATAAAATTAACTATTATTAAAAAATAATATTTTTTTAGACTACTTTTATTTACAATGAATATATATTTTTCTTCAACTAATATCTAGCTTGAAATGGAAAAATCGATTTTTTTAATACTCTCAATATGGATATAATTTATTTAAATTTCAGTATCTAATAATGATTATAAAAATAAAAATAAGAAAAACAAAAAACAAAACAATTAAATAAATAGACAAATAATACTATCTATGTTTTACTATGTTAATTTCATGGAAACATTTGAAAATCTATATGTATTTTTTTAATTATCTAATATAATTAATAATAAAATTTAATATTTTTGAAATATTCCAAACTAGAAAGATATACTTATGCAAATTTTCTAAGATATATTATATGGTCTATGATTATATAGAAGAATAATTTATACCTTTTTTAGATCCAATTTGTAATTTATTATATAATAATAAATTAGTTTAAGTAGATATTTTATGTATAATAATTTTTAAAATGATAAGTTATATAAAATGGTGTATAATTATTGATAGTTATATACCATTTTATTGTATTTCAATGAGATAGATACCTTTAATGTGGATTTAATTAAAGAAAATTAATAATTTCTTGTACTTAATTAGATTATGCAATAATTTTTTTATTTCTACTTAGTGTTTTTGTTAATCTAGACTTATTTAAAAATTATTCAATTAATAGCTATCTCTAAAGTTTTTATGACTTACTTTCAATATTTTTGTAATAAAGTATAATTAACATGATTCTTAAGTAGATCCTATAAATTTAAATATAAAAATGTAAAAATTAATTTTAAATTTAATAATTAATATATAACCATATTTAGATTAAATTTTATGAAAAATAAAATTATGTGATTCATAAAATAAATAATAATGACTTATGAATTAAATATCAATTAATATAATTTTCTTGATTTATTTTCTTCTTTCTTGTTGAAATATTTTACATATAATACTAAAAGGTATTAATCTTAAAATTATTATAACATATATTATTAGTAAAATAAGTATTAAAAATATATTATCTACTAAACTTATAAGCAAATTAGTAGATTTAAATCATTTGAATGTAAATAAAGTATTATATATATATATATATATATATATATATAAATGCTAAATATATCTAAGTATTTACTAAATTGTCCCATCTATTCTAAACACCATAAAAAAAAATAATGACATCTTGATTCATATTTTCACTATTGGATCTGCAAGTAATAAAAAATGGCCACATTCATCATGATTATAATATTTTTCATTAAAGGTGGGTCTATTTAATGTTCTTTTAAAATTATCCTATGATTAAAAAGAAAAACTTTTTTATATTAGCAGATTCATGACAACACAAGACAAAAGATTATGTGGTTGTTTTAATTAGTGTAAAAAAAAGTAATTTGATCTTTGGATTATTTTTAATATAATTAAATTAAATATATTAAAATATTTCTTTATTTATAGTGAATATGTAGTAAGATTAAATTTTTTATATATTATACATACATGTATATTAAATGAATAAGCTAAGACACACACACACACACACATATATATATATATACATATATATATATATGTATCTTATATTACAACCTTAATAAATAAAAATTTACTAAATCATGCAAGGTTTTATAATTTATTTGAGATAATAAAATTTAATACTTTCTAAGTAATTACATATATTCTTCCAATTAATATTATTAAAAAGAATTAGCTCTCTTTAATACTTTTCAAGTCACCTATTCATCTTATTTTGATATTTAATCTAGTTCAAATGCAACCAAATTATCTTCCTATTTTTGATTTTATTCTTTTAAAAATTTAGAGCTTTTTTCTTAGTTAATATCAATCAAATCAAATTGTAATTGTAAAATTTTCATAATATAATTTAGGATGTATAATACAAAAATAGAATATTTATATAGTATATATTAAAGGAAGTAAGATAATTGAAATGATGGCCCACTAATATAGTTGATAGAAGATAATATACTTATGATCACAACGTTTGATTAATGCTCATTGCAGCAATCTATAAGGTGAAACGGATATACATAGATACTCTAGTAAATACCTACATGATTAGGTAGAAGTAGATAAAAGTAAATAAAAATAGATTAATTTCATAATATCTTTTATAGAAGCTTCTTAGAAGCTGTATAGATGCTGTTTTGACTTTATATGTGTTTGTAGTTGTTTGATAGGTAGAAACTTTGTCAAGAAGTTAATTACGTATTAGTTGCTTGTAGAACAAGCTAACTCTGTGGCACACATATAGAAAACATGCCTTGAAAATTAAAGTATGTATCTTGCAAAGTCAACATGTTTTGGAGGTTCTATAGGACATTGACACATAGATCCTAATTAAGAGTATTTATGGAGGCAAGAGTGAAGTCTTCTTTATTTTTATCAATACCTTTCTAGTCTTTAGTCTTATTTCAAGTCTTTCTAGTCTTCTTGTTTTTTGGCAATAGCCATTCTAATTCAATATCATATCATCTTTGAAAGACTTTTTAGTTTCTTTCAGTGATATAAGAGTGTACTGAAGATTTTCTTTTTTCAAGATTCAAATCCTTAATAGTTTGACAAAAGTGCTAACTTATTGTTTTTGTCTTATTTTAGAAGTGAGTGGATTATTCCACTCACTTCTATTATTTTATTTTGAAGGTTAAAAACTACCTATTTTAAAATATTTTATTATTATTTTTTAATATTAATATTTTCCTTAAAATATATAAATTATCTTTTTTTGTAGAAA